TTTTATTCTTCCTGCAGGCTATGGTGGGTACAGGCTCACAAATGGCAGCACCACGTGTTCAGGGAGAGTAGAGCTTCTTCACGGAGGCACGTGGGGAACCCTGTGTGACTACCTGTGGGATTTACCAGCTGCCAACACCCTCTGCCAGCAACTGGACTGTGGAGTTGCCCTACTGATACCGGGTGGACAGGCCTTCGGAAAAGGAAATGGATCTGTCTGGAACGGCACCTTCAGCTGCGAGAAGAATGGCTCACGCCTGAGAGACTGTCCCATGAGTGTGCTGAGCCACGATGAATGCCCTGCTGGAAAAGATGCTCGTGTGATATGTTCAGGTGAGCAGCGGAAAGGTCTAAGAACTGAAAAACTCCTTCCTTGAGGAAAAATATGGACCCAAAAATCTTGATTTCTAGTCATCCTTCTCAGTAAAATAAGGTGGACCGAGGTCTAGTTCTGAGTGTGGAAGTTCAAGTGGCTCAGTGGAGTCATTTTTACTACTGAATGCTAAGGAAAACTCATTCCTGTTTCCCAGTCGCTTTCAGGTCATGCCCATGAGCAGTTACCAACATGACATCTCAGCACTCACTTTCTCTTATACTCAGGGTGCCCAGGGGGCAGGTTGGTGAATGGCACCACGTGCTCTGGCAGAGTGGAGATCCGCCACGGAGACACGTGGGGAAGACTCTGCCGCTCCCGCTGGAATTTGCAAGCTGCCAGTGTCCTCTGCCACCAGCTGAACTGTGGCTACGCGAAGTCCATAGAGACAGGAGAGCGTTTTGTGGACAGCCATGGGCCTGTGTGGAGGGATGCTTTCCACTGCGAAGGGACGGAGTCCTGCCTGTGGGACTGTGCTCAAGTGACTTTGGGCAATCCAAGCTGTTCAGCCGGAGAAGCAGCCACTGTTATCTGCTCAGGTAAGTCAGGAGTGACCTTTTGCAGGTAGTACAACTTCAGAGCAAAGCAGCGTTGGTGATCTCCCTTTGCCAAGCAACTCCAGTATGTCAGCCTGTCCTTAATGCCCTCCCACCCCTCCAACCTTTGTTTCTGTATAGAAACTTCATTTAGTAGAGGGATTCATGTTGTTTAGATGTGCCTGACTCCTCACAGCATCTAGTCTTTGAGCTGGAGAAGCCTTTCTTGCTTCCCAATGCAGACCCTCATGTGCATGGAAGCAAACGAAGCCTTAACAGAGCCTGTCTTCTGAACCAGCGGCGAGAATTAACTTTTTACCCACGTAGAAATTTATCTTCCATCTCTCTCCTGCATGTTATTTGTACTGCAGCAAGAGCAGCAGATGTTACTCAATACATTTTCCAACTCTCTTGAGCCCAGGTCTTGCTGAATCACTCAGACTCTCAGGTGGCGAGAGCCGCTGTGATGGGCGAGTTGAGATCTCACTCCATGGCACGTGGAGCAGAGTCCTGGATGATGACTGGGACATTAAGGATGCTCATGTGGTGTGCAGACAGCTCCAGTGTGGAACTGCCAAGAAGGCCTATTACCTTCCAAGGTCTGAGCGAGGTGTGGGTCTTGTTGGCTTAAGAAGCGTCCAGTGTGCTGGAAGTGAGACTCAGCTGATGCTCTGCAAGACCTCTCATGCTCAGACAGGGTCCATGGGAGTTGCTGAAGACGTCGGTGTGGTTTGCTCAGGTGAGTTACTGTGCAAAAGGCACAGAATGCTCCCGGGGGCTGCCTCTAGCCCACTTTGTTCTGTGGTCTCACCAGGTCTTGAATAGGCATGGATCTGAGCTTGTGATACACACCTGCTTGCATGCTCTAAGGGACAAATGATAGTTAAGGAAGCACGTGTAATTTATGTAACGCTTTCTTCATCTGAATTTCTTAAATAATTCATCTTGCAGAAAAAAAAAAAGTAATAGAATACAGAAGCCCTAAGAACACTAATTAGGCCCTGATTGCCACATGTGCTGTCACTTGGGAATTAAGCAGGGTTTATTTTTTGACATTTTGATATTTATAGACACTTGCAGCCTTTCTAAAGTAAATTAGAACTGTTTCTACTCTCCTCTTATTTTGTAACCCATCTCTAACAGAAACTGTGGCTGTCTCTGTCTAACT